GCGGGGAGGGGGGCTGCGCCGGCGGCCGCACGGCGGGGCTCTCGCGCACGCGCACACGCACGCAGGCACACGCACGCTCACGGGAATCCGAATCTTATTGCTGCGCGGCGGGGCGGGAGGGTCACTCGACGCAGACGGAGAGCAGCACCATCACCAGGACGCCGGCGCCGAGCAGAAGCACCTGCTGCAGGGACAGCCTGCGGGGAGGCGGCGGCTCAGGGCGCGGCCGGGGACTTGGGGCCCGTGGGCGTCCCTGCAGGTCACTCACCACGGGTTGTCCTCCTCCAAGAGGTCCGGCAGCACGTTCACCAGGGCGATGTAGAGGAAGCCGCCGGAGGTGAAGGGCAGGACCCAGGCCACCGTCTCCTCTGCGCAGGAGCAGACCCCGACTGGCTGCGAGCCCCGGGCGCGAGGGTCCTGTCCCTGCCCCCGGGGAGACGCCGCCTCACCCTCTAACGGCACCTCCCGCGCCCATACCTACGCCCTTGGGGGACTGCGTACAGATGGCGAAGCAGGCGCCCAGCAGGCCCCCCAGCGCCGTGGACAGCTGCAGCTTGGCGGCGCTCCACCGGTCGAAGCCAGCCCGGAGCAGGATGGCGAAGTCGCCCACCTCGTGGGGGATCTCGTGCAGGACGATGGCCACGGTGGTCAGGAGCCCCATCTGCAGGGAGCAGCTTCTGAGTCTAGGGCTGTGCTGGGGGCCACACCCCACCCACCCACCTGTGCCAGACAAGCCCTTGCGCTGCCTCCAGTTGCCTCCTGCCCGCCCCTGCTGGGTACTGGGCGACAGCAGACACCAAGCCAGCAACCTAGATGGGGCTGGGGCTAGGGCTGGGCTGGGCTGAGGGACCAGCGGCAGGGGCCTCTCTGAGAACAGGCATTTACACGGAGAAGTGCGGAAGGAAGAACTCCTCAAGCAAAGGGCATGGTGTGGGGGCCGCCGGGCCCCAGCACGGAGGGCGGGGGCAGCACCCCCAAGCCTAGCAGCTTGAGAGAGGCTTCCCAGTCAGGAGAAGGGACAGCAAGGACGCAGAGCAGTGCGGCTTGTGACAAAAGAAGGTGCAGGTGATACTCCTAGCACTCTGGGAGGCTGAGGCAGAAGGATCGAAGGTCCAAGCCTCACTTAGGCAATTTAGTAATTGAGCAAGACCCTGTCTCAAAATAAAAAAATATCAAGAGCTGAAGATGTAGCTCAGTGCAAAGGCCCTGGGTTCAGTCCCCAGGATGGGGGTCGGGGGCATGCAGGGAGAGGAGGTGGCGGCTGTGGCAGTCAGGGAGAGCAACGGAGGAGACTGGGGAGGGCTTGGAGGTGACACCAGCTGATGACACAGGTGTCCAGTGCAAAAGCCCAAGGCCTGCCTGCCCCGCCGCACTCGCCTTCTTGCTCACGAGGAAGCTGGCGGCCACAGCTAGCCCGTGGGTGAAGTTGTCCACGGTGTTGGCCAGCAGGTTGAGATAGCCGCTGACCTGGGGGAGGAGGGGAGCAGTGCTAAGCTGGGTGGGGCCACTCCATTGGGCAGCTGTGGGAGGGGGCCCTGGGCAGGCCACTCACTTTGAGGTTCCGGACTGCGGCGCTCAGGCGGGGCTGTGCCGCTGCCCCCGGGGCGAGACGGTGGCCGCCATTGAGCACAGCTGCAGGGGGGTCTTTGCTGGAGGCCTAGGCCGGGAGGAGAGAAGCGACATTACGTGCCCCCACTCAGCTGGGTCACAGCAGGGAGGCCAAGCCAGACAAGAGAGATGTTCGCTGACTGGGCTGGACCTCTGCTAACGGCTGAGCCGGTGCCCCCCGCTCAGCATGCCTCCGGCCCACGCCGCTGCCACCAGCACTGCCATCTGCCAGGACTGCTGCCGCCCCCACCCCTGGCCTCTCAAAGCAGTTGGCCCTGCCCCCGCCTGCTCCTGGGCAAGAGGCCAGGAGAACCCTCTTTTTAAGGGCTTAACTCAGAACCTGGGCCTCCAAGCCCTGGGTACCCACCGGAACAGAGGCTGGCATAGCCAGGTGCTGGGGTCTGGGGCTCACCTGCCTGGACCCGCCCTCCTTGCTGTCCAGGAACATCTTCTCCAACGCCAGGAAGGTCAGGAAGCCAGCGATGACCCAGAGCCCCAGCTGCTGTTGCTGCTGCAGGGTCCGGACCTCAGCCCCTGCGAGGGAGCACTGCGCGCCATGCCAAGCCCATGCCCACCGCGAGGGCCTGGGCCTGGGCAGTGACGGGAGCCAGGGCTGGTGGCTTCTGACGGCCACGTGGGCCAGGGCACTGGGTGCAGGACAGTGACCCCTCCCAGGTCAGTTCCTTCCCAGGTTCTTTTCCCCAAATCCCTCTTCCCATCCCAGGGTGAAGAGCCGGGCAGGGCATGGGCACCAGCGCCCACTCCTGATCTGCAGAGCTGGGGCTTCACTCACCAGGGCTGGCGCTGCATGTGTAGCCCCAGGCCTCGGGCAGCAGGTGCAGGAACACATTGCCCAGCAGGCCCCCCAAGGCGAAGCTGAGCAGCTGCTTCAGGCGCTGGGCCCCAGCTGCAAGGCAGGGATGTGGGTCGGGGGACTGAGGGCCGGGACCCCCGGCGTCACCTCTGTCCCAGGACCCGGATCACTGGGCTTTCTGCTGGCTCCAGCAGCTCGCCCATCTCCCAAAGGCCGGATCCAGCGGCAGCTCTCCCGGGCCCTGGCCCGCTGCGCAGGAAGGGCTGGCTGCTAAGCAGGAACTCCTTGCAGCCTGCGGGACCCCGCTGTGGCTCCTACTCCAGCCTAATTAGGACACGGGGTTTCCAGGCCCTACAGGTCCCAGCTCCTAAAACCACCACTGCTGAGCAACAGAGCACTGAGACTCGGTTTTCCCGTCTGTATATTGGATCTTGTGGGAATTAAATGACATACAGAGTGCTTATTAAATGGGAACTTCTGAGCCACTGTCACAGGAAAGTGGCAGGGATAGGGGACATTTGCAAGCTCACAGCATGCAGATTTGAGTGCTCTATGAGTGCCACGTTCAACCCCTTGATCTGATAGAACAACGGAGGCTGAGGCCACTGGGTGGGGGGTGAGGTGAGGTCCCAGGGGAAGCTGCCGCCTCCACACTGTGCCTTGCTGGGCGGGGACCCTCTCTGCTTGTGCTTCCCTTGCGACGGAGCCAGCAGTCCTCACGCTGACCCTGCAGCTGCAGAGGAGCTCTGGGACTGTCTGTCTTAGCGCGCTGGTTCCTAACAGAGCCCTGGTGGCCTGGTCCCACCTCCACGTCCCACTCTCCAGTTGGCGGGGGCTTAGCCTCATCTGCACACTCTTCCTCATCCTTCCTACAACATGCTGTCTGCACGCACGCATGGGATGCAAAAGAAGGAAAAGCCCCACCCATGCCAGACTGGGTCTGCTGGTCATCTCCCTGGGGCAGCTCTGCCCTGAGGGAAGGCTTTGAACTCTGGGCACTGCAAGCCCACAGCAAGCCCGAGGGGAGCGGCACCCTGCGCTCCGCGTAGCGCTGCGTGTGCACCTGCTCACTTCATCTTCACACGGACACCCATGAGACAGATTATTGTGCCTATTTTGGGGGGTGCTGGGATGGAACCCAAGGCCTACTTTGGGGGTGATGGGATCAAACCCAGGGCCTCGCACGTGCCAGGTAAGCACTTCACCACCCTCACCGCCGAGCCACATCCCCACCCCTATTATCCCCATTTTTAAGGCTGGGAGGCTGGGACAGTGTGAAGCTTAGTACCTTGCCCTGTGCTTCTTAGCTGGTGAGTGGCAGAGCCAGGACTGGTGGCCAGGTAGCCAGGCAGCCCGTTGGTTTTCTTTTTGTTTGTTTTTTTTTTTTTTTGGTTTTGGTTTTTCTCCGGTACCGGGAACCGAACTCACGACCTTGCGCTTGCCAGGCAGGCGCTTTGCCGCTGAGCTAAATCCCCAGCCCCTGGGCAGCCCGTTTGTAAGAAGTCTGGTGAAGCCGGGCGTGCGAGCGCACACCTATAATCCTGGCACTCGGGAGGCTGACGCATGGGAACTGCTGAGAGTTCGAGGCCAGCCTGGCCTACATGTGAGACCCGACCTTAATGACAGCAGCAACAAAACACAAGGCTGGGGACGTGTCTCAGTGCCAAGGCCCTGGGTTCAATCCCCGATACCAAGAAGAAATGAGTCTGGCGAGTGTTGCTGACCGGGACAATAAACGGCTGCACAGATGAGTCAGTGCCCAACACGTGCACCCCGTGCCCACAGGACCGAGGTGACCTGTCCCCATCTCAGACACACTGGCCCGGAACAGGAGACCGGGGTCTCCCGCCCTGCTGGCTGCCCCTCAGTGCCACCACAATCACCCACCTTCTGAGCGCAGCATGGTCCCCATCTCCAAGGGAATGACCAGCAGCGGGAAGACCCCCGTGAGCCCCACGATGAGCGAGCCGAGGAGGGAGCAGATCCAGGTGTCCAGCCTGTCGCTGCTCAGCAAGGCCCCCCAGGACTCGCTGGCCTTGCTGTCCAGGCGACAGGCCGCGGCGGCCCCCCGGTTCTGGAGGGCTGGCTGGGCGCCCGCGGCCCTTCCCAGCAGCTGCAGGGCAAGGGCGGTGAGGAAGAGGAGCCGCTGGCCCGCCATGCCACAGCCAGGGCAGGGACATCCAGGCATGCCACGTGCTGAAAAACACAGAGGCCCCTTAGGTGGGCAGCCAGCCTCGCCGCGCACCTGCTGGGGACACGTGGCGTCCCCGCCCAGCCCCGAGTGGCCAGGGCACCCGCCCGCCTGGTGGGCACGCGTCTGGGGCTCAGCTCCTGGCTCGCCCTCTCCCAAGCACTGTGCATTTTTTCCCTCTGAGCCGCTCCAGACTGTGTAGGCTGGCGCGTCGCATCCGCCTGCGGCTAAACTTTCCCTAATGACTGGGTGAGGCGCTGGCTCCTTCCAGCCACCGGCAGGCCTGGCCCAGACGGCTGCTCAGGCTGCCAGGGGAGGTTTGGGGCCAGGCTGTGCCCTGAGGAGGACCCCCCAGACTGAGGGCAGCACGGTCTAAGCCGACGGGCAGCCCTGCGGGCACAGCAGGGGAAACTGAGCAGCACAGCCGGACAGGACCATCAAAGCCTCTTCCTGGGAAATGAGCCCAGTGTCCCTGGGGGCACCAGGAGGTGAGGCTGGGGCTAAAGGATCCTTGCGGCCGGAGATGCCTCGCAGATGTGCGCAGGCTTCCGAGACAGGTCAGCTTGGGGCTCTGCTCTGAGCTGTCCGCGGGCAATTCCTGGAGTCCCTGAGCCTCAGAGTCCTTGTGCCGAGGGACGCGTCTGGGTACCACCTCCCTCACAGAGGGGCACATGAGGGCGCGGGAAAGGCAGGTGGATGGCGAGGAGGCACAGGGTCCCCCTCCCGGGCAGGAATGTGCCCTGCCAGTGGATCCCAGCACGGGACATGAGTCAGCCAAGGAGAAGTTCAGTCTGGAAACTCAGGCGTGAGATTTCAGTGATGGTCAGCCCTGCCCTGCGCTGGCTGTGACCTTGAGCTGCCTCAGTTTCCTCCTCTGCTGAGGGAAGCGGCAGGGGGAGGACGCAGCAGTCACTGGGCGCTGCGAAAGATGCCCAGGTCTGCGATCTCCAGGCCTCAGCGCAGGAGACCCCCGTGGGCCCGGCCGGCCGCTCGGAGACCAAGGTTGCCCCGGGCGGCCGGGCCGAGTCCCAAGCGGGCCGGCAGAGAGGCGAGGCCGCAAGTCTGGAGGACAGACTGCAAAGGGAGGGGGTCGTCAGGGGAGAGGGGAAAAGCGGCCAGCAAGAGGGAGGAGGATCGAGAGTCAGGCGCGGGGGGAGGACGGCAGATCGCGGGGACAGAAGGCGCCGGGGCAGCGAGCCGGACCCCGGACTCGGGGAGGCGCCCGGCTCAGGCGGGGACACGCCGGCCGGGGTCCCCAGGCCGGGCGTCACTCACCGTGCGGC